TGCCCCTAAACACTGCTCTAAAACACGGATCTAAATGACACAACGTACATGGACATTGCGACTGAAACAGAGTTGCATTAAAAAAAATTAGGGATGTTCAGATACCAGCGCGGATACTTGGCATTTTCATGAGAACTACCAGGGTAGCAGCGGTTGCAGCTGGGACCTGGCTCTGGCACTCCACCACTGTCCTGAAATCATTAGTCTGTATTGTTTTAGAAAAACTGTCACATGACAATAAACGAAAATGTATCCGTACTTGTACTTGCAAAAATGGTATCAGTGCATCCCTTATAAATATTTATGACAAAAAATCATACAATAAATCAGAGATGTACAAATCCCTGGAGCTACGTATGCTCCTTACAAATGACAGCTGCCTCCTAACTTTTGAATTTTTGTCTAGTCTAGTCTTGGAGCTGGAAAAGTATCTGTACTTGAACTTGATATCTGAACATCCCTAAAAAAAAATAATGAAAAATGCCTCTAAAAGTGGTGTTGTAAGAGTCCACGGCTTACTACGCATGCGCCAATGGCGCGTTGCCGCAAGAGGAAATCCGCGCCAACTGTGCATGCGCCAAAGACGCGTCAGTGCGCCAACCCGTGCATGCGCAGAAGACCTGATGGAAAAAGCCAGGAAAATGCCCAGGAGGCGCACCGGAAGTGACCTCAACCTGATGGAAAAAGGCGGGAAAATGCCCAGGAGGCGCACAGGAAGTGACCTCAAACTTCAATCATCACTTCCCTATAATAGCCCAGCCCAGACACTGCCAAATTGCTGGATTATCTTCAGTCCCCCCTTGTTCCTGTGCTAGTGTGTGATCTGTCTGAACTTGTTGTGACCTGGAAACCTCTTTGACTACTCTGCTGCCTGCCATTGACCTCGGATTTGTACCTTGACCATTCTACTTATTTGCCCCTTTTGTACTCAGCTGCCAGATTGGAACCGACCCCGGCTTGGATCTCGACCATTCTTCTGATTAACCCTTGTGTACTTCGTTGCCAGAGTGGACTTGACCTCGGCTCGGATCTTGGACTAAGACTTGCACGGTGCTCCGCACCCCATGCACCCGTGCCACTCAGTGTCCACCAAGTCTCTGTCTCCATCTCCAAAGACTTCAAGGACCCGAGGTGCAAGGGAGGCCACACCACTACTTCGGTCTCACCTCAGGTACGTGGCTCCCGTGACAGGTGTGTTTTCTGCTTGCATGAGACCTATAAGAGCAGGAAGAACATTCACCTTCTCCATTAGCATTGCTCCCTCATTCATTGAACCAGTGTTTTGGCCACCGAAGGAGCAACACCATGGAAGCAGGTAAGTGCCCCCTCTAGCGATCCTGTTGCTGGCAACTTCCTGTCGCCAGCAACCAAAGTCCTAATGTAACATAGCCCTTAGTCACCGCAGTGACATCTGTGTCCTTCCAATTTTTTCCTCCAAATACTGAAATGACTGGACTCCATGTCAGTCTATGGGGAATCAGATGTAAATGGACATGTGTCAGTTTACATCCGATTATCTCCAATCCTGCATGATCAGGTCCGGCGAGATGGAACACTGTTCTGTTTGTCTTCCTGGACCTGGCCAGAGGCGGGGGCAATAAGTTGTAAACAGGCACCTGTTCATTTAGAGCCGGTGTTCTATCGAAAGCTCCAACTCGTCGAAATCTCCAACTACCTCACTGTCAGATACTTACAAGTTGGAGATTTCGACCAGACGGCGTTAGACATAGTTACATAGTTACATAGTATTTGAGGCTGAATAAAGACATTAGTCCATCAAGTCCAACCTATTAGGATCTCATTCTAGGAGTACCCGTACCCCTGTATATTACGGTCCCTTAAGAAATCGTCCAAAAGTTTCTTGAACAATTCCACATTATTTGCTGAAATCACCGCCTGTGGCAGTGAGTTCCAGACCCTAAATGCGCCAATGGCGCGTTGCCGCAAGAGGAAATCCGCGCCAACTGTGCATGCGCCAAAGACGCGTCAGTGCGCCAACCCGTGCATGCGCAGAAGACCTGATGGAAAAAGCCAGGAAAATGCCCAGGAGGCGCACCGGAAGTGACCTCAACCTGATGGAAAAAGGCGGGAAAATGCCCAGGAGGCGCACAGGAAGTGACCTCAAACTTCAATCATCACTTCCCTATAATAGCCCAGCCCAGACACTGCCAAATTGCTGGATTATCTTCAGTCCCCCCTTGTTCCTGTGCTAGTGTGTGATCTGTCTGAACTTGTTGTGACCTGGAAACCTCTTTGACTACTCTGCTGCCTGCCATTGACCTCGGATTTGTACCTTGACCATTCTACTTATTTGCCCCTTTTGTACTCAGCTGCCAGATTGGAACCGACCCCGGCTTGGATCTCGACCATTCTTCTGATTAACCCTTGTGTACTTCGTTGCCAGAGTGGACTTGACCTCGGCTCGGATCTTGGACTAAGACTTGCACGGTGCTCCGCACCCCATGCACCCGTGCCACTCAGTGTCCACCAAGTCTCTGTCTCCATCTCCAAAGACTTCAAGGACCCGAGGTGCAAGGGAGGCCACACCACTACTTCGGTCTCACCTCAGGTACGTGGCTCCCGTGACAGGTGTGTTTTCTGCTTGCATGAGACCTATAAGAGCAGGAAGAACATTCACCTTCTCCATTAGCATTGCTCCCTCATTCATTGAACCAGTGTTTTGGCCACCGAAGGAGCAACACCATGGAAGCAGGTAAGTGCCCCCTCTAGCGATCCTGTTGCTGGCAACTTCCTGTCGCCAGCAACCAAAGTCCTAATGTAACATAGCCCTTAGTCACCGCAGTGACATCTGTGTCCTTCCAATTTTTTCCTCCAAATACTGAAATGACTGGACTCCATGTCAGTCTATGGGGAATCAGATGTAAATGGACATGTGTCAGTTTACATCCGATTATCTCCAATCCTGCATGATCAGGTCCGGCGAGATGGAACACTGTTCTGTTTGTCTTCCTGGACCTGGCCAGAGGCGGGGGCAATAAGTTGTAAACAGGCACCTGTTCATTTAGAGCCGGTGTTCTATCGAAAGCTCCAACTCGTCGAAATCTCCAACTACCTCACTGTCAGATACTTACAAGTTGGAGATTTCGACCAGACGGCGTTAGACATAGTTACATAGTTACATAGTATTTGAGGCTGAATAAAGACATTACCGCAAAACAAATACTGACGGAGCTCTGTACATTTTAACAATATTCAGCAGGTGGCAAACTCGACGAGTATTCTGAAAACGTTATGCGCACCGCAACTGTACAGAGCTCCCGTCTTTCTGAGCACCGGAAGTGAGGTAGTTGGAGCTCGATAGAACGCTGGCCATGCATAGACTTGCATTGAGCATCCGATCGGGTCCACCTAAAAACTGAAAGGCGGACCTGATCGGAACGCCCGTGTGAAAGGGGCCTTACAGCAGAATTCGGTGCCAGCTACATAATCTGCAACCTCAGTAGATACTTACGTTATCCGATGCAACAGCCGATGATCAAAACACATCAGTGTCTTGTACGTATTACAGACAGAAACTCTGTAGTCAGCTACAAAATTTACCTGAGAGAATAAAATTATAATTTTGTCTTTTTATTTACTTGTTACAGATCTGTTATAAAGTTACTATGTGACCTGGTCCTAAGTAGAAATATACATTTACTGTATCATTTAATTGTAAAGCTATACTGCCATCTTGTGGACTTTAATGAAAGTGTTACTGTATTGCTGCTGAGGTTGAAATATGAGGGCTGCCATTGTAGACCCTTCTTCAAGACGTGCTACCTGACAGGCTGTTATGCCGATCCTTTGGCATCAATGCTTCCGAGTCACTGACCTAGAACAAGTGTGAAGGTCAGACAAAAGTCAGAGGTTTTGATATGGAGACTTGTTCTCGCTTGGTGATTGTAAATTTGAAGCAAGAGGGTCAAAATGACAGTAGGGCAACTAGCATTTTTAGAAGTCATCAGTGACAATTTTCATTTTTTATGGCAGGTTTTCTTTAGGGTCCATTTACACCTTTGCACAATAACACATGAACATGGACCAGCTATTGTTTTAAGGAAGAACTCCAGACACATGAAATCTTAACCTTTGCAATGGGGCTATCCACGCACTGCGAGGGATAAGTGCTCATTTTGGTCTAGGGTGTAAAATAAAAAAAGATATACTCACCTGATCCTTGATCCCGCCTTGGCATCCTCACTCGCTAAGAAGCCGCCAATTTGATATCCAATTACAGTGACAGGTCCACTCTATGGAGACATCAGGGGTTCCTAAGACCCCTAATATCACCTATGAACCCCCAAAGAAGCTGATGGAGAAGACAGCTGAATGCGGAAGTGATGTAATAATTATCACTGCCTGCAATCACATAACTGGGAGAACAGAGGGAGATCGTTTACTGATCTCCCTCTGTTCCCCTTGCACAGAGCCACAATGCCGGTCCCTGGCCCGCATGGAACACAGGGAGCCCAGGATCGCAGCAGTGGCGGAGGAGGGGGGGGCGCACAAAGGTGCCACATACAATCGATCGGGCGTCTCCACAGATTCACTGTTTCAAATTTTGACAGTTTTGCGCTCGTGTACGCCAGGCAGCGCGCAGGAGCGGGCATAAAGAACGTTTTAAGATGCCCACCCGCATCTAGAAGGCTCCCGTCTGGCTGTATTTCCTACGTTCGGCGGATGGGAGGTAGTTAAATGGTACTAGTTCCGTTGATGATTGATGTGCTTTTTTTTTTCCCAATACAAATTATAGGGCCTATTGATCAAAATGACAGAACATAATAATGCATCATTGTTAATAACACACAGAAAAATGGTGTAAATCCAGCAGTGCCAGATTCCAATTGTATACTACAAACGCTAAAGAGAGATTTGCAATCACTGAAATGAACCAAAATAGTTAATTGCTGAAGGGGCAGGACAGGAATTAGAGATATAAGGATCCAAGTGCAAGAAACCTGCAATGAAAAAAAAAAAAGTATTGTTATTAAAATTACCCTCATTGGCTCATCAGGGTGTCCAGCTTTCCTCTCCCTCTCTGAGCGCTTTGTTCGCAGAATCTGTTTGGCTTGCTTTTCTTGCACAATTGGCGAGGCATCTGAAAAACAAATGCAACAGAAAGCTTAGACTCTGACTCCAGCCTGACTCCCCCACTTCCACCCTTCTGGTTTAGGCGAGTGACATAACCCCCAAGCTGCCTGCAGGCTCCTGTTATACTCACATAATACATCACTAGAGGGTTTGGGGCAATCCACAGCACATGCACCACAGCGTGACATCAGGGAAGCTGGCTGGTTCAGCTAGTCTCCAATGGCATGCTGTAGTTCATGTGTGTCCTCAGGGGGCTGACTGCAAGAATGAGGAAGAGGCAGCTAGCCCCCAGTAATGTCAGAGAAGAAGATGACAGAGCAGGACCTTTTGCAGAAGGGTGGATCACTACAGAATACCGCCGGATTTGCTGGGTGTATGAGTATGTTTAATTAGCATAATCCAACAAACCAGGTAAAGGGGGAGGGGGGGGGGGGGGGATGCAAGTTTTTAAGTTTGCATAGAGTAGGGAACAGTAAACATTTGTGTCAGATATGTATTTCTGTCTGTGACTCTTGGGAGAGATTTTTCCTCAATTCTTGTCCCTGTGACTCCCATACAAG